CACCAGCAGTGGAGAAGGGTTCCTTTTTCCCCACAGCCTCTCCAACATTTGTTGTTGGGTGATTTCTTTATGATAGCCATTCTTTCTTGGGTGAGCTGATATCTCATTGTTGTTTTAATTTGCATTTCACAGATGGCTAGCGATGTGGAGCATTGTTTCATATATTTATTCGCTTCTTTAATCTCATCCTCTGAGAAGTGTGTGTTCATCTCAGATGCCCGTTTCTGGACTAATCATCCTTTTGCCCACGCATCACTCAAATACCATTTCCTCCATAGGACTTGCCAGGACCTAACAAACTTTCTACCACCTCACATTTCTTTCTACCACAGGACTTCGGCCTCTCAGAAGCCTGGCTCTGCTGGGAGCCTTTCGCTGAGACACTACACCTATTTCGTCTTCTTCACTGGAATCTCCCAAGAGGAGAAAAACCCATGATGATCCTGGTACAGAACCATGCAGTGCCACCCCAGGCCCTTGGCACAAATCCCAAGGCAGAGAAGAGAATGGAAAACTTTTCATTTTCAATTTTTTAAAATTATGAAGTTTTTATATTCCCACATTGGGTTTATTTAGGTATACAGGGAAAAACAGTTCCTTTGGAAAGTGACCACAGCCAAGAGTCAGGCCTCCCAAGTGTTAACAAAATTTACAACACAGCTGTCCAGCTTCAGAGCAGCCCCAAGAGACACCTGCTCCATTTGGAGGTTAGGAGGCACCTTGTGCAGCTGGGTGACAGGAAGCATTATAGGAAACTGACCATCCAGCCTAAGTCACGAGTCAATCCTTGTGTCCCAGTGTGGGGGGAAAGGTCTCTGTGTGTCCCAAGTTTCCTCAGCATTGTGCAGTGTGATATCAAATGTTACCACCCCAAAACAATATGGCCTACGAAACAGATCAGGATGGGACCTCAGATCTCATCGAAGTCTTCCCTTGGTTTTACTTGAAGGAGTTAAGCCCTTTTCTGAGAGAAAGGAGAAAGCAGTTTCTCCAGAGGAACCCATATCTGTGTTTTTTATTTCATCCTGCCCATACTGGCCCCTGCGGCACCTCCAAGGAACTAGCGCTCCAACCCTACAGTATAAAAATTTCAACCAGCTTTTCAGTAATGAAGAAGGCAAGTTCTCAAGACAGCAACCCCAGCACCAAAACCTAACTACCCCAGACAACTCTAGCGGGATGCCGGGGCAATACAGCATGCAAAATCTACAGATCTAGGAGGGAGGGAGGGCCAAATGCCAGCCTTACTCTGGAAGTCTACAGATGGCAAGTACCAAGGCTTGCTGCTCGTAGACACAGCCCTTCTGGGTTCTTCTGAGGAGGGTACTGAAGACTCCTCAAAGGCAGCCACACAGGCCGGCCCGCTCAGCGGCACTGAGCAAGCCTGTGCGTCTACTGCACCTCTGCCCAGCATCCCTGCAAACACCTGCCACAGAGCTCGCACCAGGACAGTAGCCAGCGGCTTACCAGCTGAGGGTCCTGAACCAGGGCAGGTCATAGGAGTGGTAGACATTGTAGCCGATAGTGATGATCTCATGGAAACACTTAATCTGCACACACATGACCTGTAAGACAGAGGAATTAGAGCCCTCTCTGGAACCGAAACCAATCACGCTGTGGGCCTTCAAGGAAAACCATTATATTTAGGAGAACACTGAGTCCTGCTCTGAGACTTTGCTCTCCTTCACCTTCCTTCTCTTTCATTCCACCCTCTATGACAATGGAGTCCTTTCTGTCACAGGGACCAGATTCAGTTTCTCACAATAAAGTACACAGTCCTCTCTTTTGATTTTTTTTTTTTTTTTTTTTTTTTTTTTTTTTTTTTCAGTACTGGGGATTGAACTCAGGATCCTGCGTTTGGCAGGCAAGTGCTTATTCTACAGCGCTATCTCCCCGGTCCCCTGATTAACTTTTTTTTTCCCCCTGATTAACTTCTTATCTTAGAACTTCACAAGACTCAATCACTATATCTTTTTTTTTTTTTTTTCACTGTGGAATTGTACCCAGGGCCTTCACACTGACCTATATACCAAATATACCAGACCTTTCTTTTTTTCTTTTCTTTTCTTTTTTTTTTTTTTTTTTCCTAGTTTTAAGGCTATCCCTATGTTGCCCAAGCTGGGCCTGAACTTGTGATCCTCCCTGCCTCAGCTTCCCAAAGTGCTGGGATTATAAGCACGCACCACCATTGCTGGTAGCCCTCTCCCCTTGAGACTGAAAATAACTACGTGAAAGGCCCAGCGACTCTGCTCATCAGTCAGCTAGCTGGCCAGGCTCTGTTCGTGACAGTGGGAAGGATTGAGGCAGCTCTGTGGACAGTGACTTCCTAATGAAAGCACTAAACCATTGAGACCCCAGAGAAAAAGACACAAAACCAGGAGTCAACAAAGACATAGGCAGGGTCACAGCGTAAACATCTGGAATAACAAATCCAATTTTAAAAGAAAGAGACCTCTCAAACATCTGGCCTACACTAGGTGGCTACTGCAAGATGAGAAGTCACAGATGGCTTGAGGCAGACATGTCCAAAGGGGACACGTCCAGAGGGGACAACCAGCCCCACGGAAAAGGAAACCGGCAGGCAGACAGCACTTACAATCATCATTAAAACCATTGGTCCCAGGTAGATGATGATGAAGAAAAACGTGATCATGGCCAAAGTCAGGATGCCTCTCACCCACCAGTTCTTCCATCTGTAAAAGAGGGGAAGAAGAGGACACAGTTAGCAGAGCAGAAGGAACAGAAACAGACCCGAGGGAACTGGCTCTTCCTGAGCCTGCAGGCCCTGATCGCAGTCCTTCCCAAGCCCCACCCGCCTCACCCGGAAAGAGGCACCGCTGTGGACTGAAGGGAGCAGGGCACCAGCACCAGTGCGACCCCCCACCAAAGTCAGCAGCTGCTCCACCACCTACAGACACACACCCGATGTGTCTTAAAGACAGCACTGGGGAAAACCACAACCTAAGGAGATGTAGTAGCACCCCTGCTTCTGCCTGGACTCAGAGGGTCCCCCCAACCATGTGTGTGTTTAGAGGAGACCAGGAGCACTTTTCCCCAGTGGGATTTCACACTGCACTGCCTACATCGTCACAGGGATCATGCTGATATGTGTTAGGCAAAGAGAACAACAGCTATCACAAATGTTTAAGGACTTGGCACATACTAATTTATTCAACCTACAACACAACTGGCTTTTAAAATTGTCATTTTAAATAGGTTTTTGTTGTTGGTGTTTTTGCACTAGAAATTGAACTCAGGACCTCACATTTGCCAGGCAGGCGCTGTGCCACTGAGCTGTATCCTGGCCTTTGAGTAGGTTTTCATTCACATGATATCTGTATATCCTTCACTGAGGATACAGAGGTACAGGTCGCACCTCTAGCAGTGAGGCTAGGATTCAAACACGGGTCTGCTCCCCTGTCTGCCCTTCCCCCTACACAACACAGCCTCCCAGAAGGCCAGCTGGCAGAACACACAGGGTCTCACCACACAGCAGGTGTGAGAAGGACCAGCCGCTCAAGAGCTGCCTGTGTTGGCCCCCTGGGTTCACCTTAGTCAAGATGCTGCCCAGAGAACTAAGGCACCATTCACAGTGGATGCCAGTAGAAGAGTGAAAACTACACATGGAACCAGAAACCCTAAGGCCCTAAGTCTTCCACGCACTTGGTCATGGCACAAGGCCCCAAACTAGAGCTGCACCATAAAGCCAGCTTACCTTGAAGACAAGTTGGAAAGGGCCCTGTTGAGGACCTCTGGGGTGTTGTCCACGGGGGCTGGCGGGGCAACCAGGTCCGCTCGGCTCTCAGTGTCCGATGCAGCCTCTCCATCAACCTTTGCTTCTGACTCCAACTCCTTACATGGCAGAAACACAGAAGGAAAAAAGGTCAAAAACACCAGGCAGATTTTTGGGAAGTTTATACCTGTCATGAAAGCTTTGTGGGACAAGACCCCAAACAGGAACCGGCACAGATGACAACAGAAATGTGGCCACCCTCTACCAGAAGGGAGGTGCACATCGTGCCACGTACACCCCCCCCCTCAATCCCACTGGAGGGGGGGAGCAGAAGAGCGAGAGACACTCATCTGTAGCCACAGGATACAGAAAGGAGACTGCCACTGGGTTCCTGCAGGCAGGTATCTCAGGCTTACACTGCAGTGCTAGGCCATCAGCACTCAGTGAGATCCACCCACCCTAAAGCCCTCGCCACCAACTCCAGAACTGTTCTGCCATGGCATGCTGTGTGCACCACCACAGTACCCAGGGACACTGTCCAGGCTCTCAGAGGAAGCCAGGTGCGCAGGCTCTGGCTCCGTGGATCAGTTAATGCCACCGTGCCCGCAAGTCCACAGTATAATCTCTACACTTCATGAGAGCAGCCTGTAAGGACACTGCAGACACAGCCAGACCTCCAGCTCACCATAGTCTATGCCTGAGCCAGGACTGATCTGCGCCTCTATCTTTAGCGTCAGCAGACCCTCAATGTCACTCACAGAGCGGCCACCTGGGCCACAGCCGGAAGGAAACACCTGCAGGAATGGACCCTGCCACCAGCCTGGGCGAGGGGACATAGCCATGCCAGCTGCAGACTCCATCCCAAGTTTCCAGAGCAGACTCTCCTAAATTATAGGAACCATCCATTACTTCTTAGTTCTTTCATTTCTCAGATGACTCAGAATAGCTGCTATGAGAAGGGGTGGAGGAAAAACTCAGATCACTTAGGATTAGGGAGAACAAACGACCACTTTAAGGATCCAGAGTCCCTGCATGCTGAAGGCCTGGTTCAGACTGCTGCCCTCAGAGAAGCAGTGGAGAAAGGAAAGCAAAAAATAGGAGCTACAGGATTCAAGTGTCTGACCAAGTGTCCCACATTAACTCAGGGCTAGCCCCACTGTGTTCATCCTACTAAGTTTTTGGTTGTTTTTCTTTTTCTTTTTTTTTTTTTTTTTTTGGTGGAACCAGGGATTGAACTCAGGCCCTTGCGCTTGCCAGGGAAGCACTTATTCTACTGAGCCATCTCCCCAGCCCCTTTCCTACTAAGTTTTTTTTTGTTTGTTTTTTGCGGAACCAGGGTTTGAACTCATGCCCTTGCGCTTGCCAGGGAAGCACCTATTCCACTGAGCCCTCTCCCTGGCCCCCCCCTACTAAGTTTTATTTAAACATTTTGGGATTTTATTCTTCAGTGAAGAAATAAAAAATGGCAAATGGATATTTTACCACATCTTAGAAGACTTGGTTAAATATGTGTACAAATGCAGAAACACTTTGTTTTGTTTTGTTTGAGACAGGATGCAGGTCAGGACAACCTCAAACTCATGACAATCCTCCCTCCAGCCTCAGCCTCCTGAGTACTAGGATTGCAGGTGTGCGTCACCACACCCAGTGAGAGTCACATTTTTTAAGATGAACTAAATCTGAATGTTCCTGATGACTAGCACAAAATTGAGCACTAGTTCATGTTTATTAGCCATTTCGTTATCTTTTTTTCATGAAGTGTTTGTCAAACTGGTCTTTTTCCTTTTTATCCATCTGTCACATTTCTTACATGTCCTCTAGTCCTCAGACTTCCTCCACCTCGCACGACAGGGACTCTACCAGGTTCTCACGGCTCCACACTCCCTACAGACAGGACCTGGCCCCTTACGCTTATTATTCCTCCATGCCTGGCACACATTAGCTGACTTGACACTGGAAGGGAAGAAGGGGAAGCGAACTCCCAGGTGAGGAACAAAGACCCAGCCCCAGAAAGAGACCCTCACACAGAGGCCTGGGCATAAAAGACAACCGGCTTCAGAAAAGGGCTGGTACAGATGGTCTCCCAGCAGGGCTTGGTGGCTCTACACAAACGACCTAAGTGCCTGAAGACAGAACCCAACTCCACCCAGAGCTGTGTCCCACGCTACCTCTCCCAACGTGTTGAAACACAGCAACCCAGCCAGGACTGCCCTCTCCATTAGGAGCAACACAGACCAGGCATTCGGAGCAGCTTTCCATCTTTCACTTAACATTTACACCGCAGCCCACAGCACACTGGTGTCCAGGTAAGCATGTGCAGGAGAAGCTACCCCAACGCTAAGCCTCGGGCTCAAGGCGCAGGTGCCTGGGCCCACTGAGGCTCCCCGACAGCCCCAGGCGCATCTGGAAGCCACGGGAGCTCATTCCGCACTCAGGCAGAGAGCCCTCACTCAGGCGCAGAAGCCCGGAGCAGGTTATTTTTAACTTCTCCTTCCTGTTGTCAAGGAGACTCACAAAGGCAGCCGGGTCTTCAGCAGGAAAGGGCAGGCTGCCTGGCTCTGTAGCAGGACAGCAGAGAGGCACCCTGAGCACAGAGTAGTGGAAGGAGTCAGAACACTTACGAAGGTGCTGCTGGCTGCTGTGATTACCAAGACTTCAGGGTGAACAAGTAAGAAATGCGTGAGAGCCCGAGGAGCAGCCTTGAGATAGAAGACCTTTCAGGTCTTCCCTGCCTCTGAGGGAGTGTTTCACATTTCTGGGACCCCACCGAGTGTGCATCTCCAGAAGCAGTACCTGGAGGGCCTCCTGATCAGATCCAAGAGACCACCACCTGCCCATCAGCTCAGGAGCCAACAAGAAGAAAGGGTAGGCTCCTGCCAGGCAGAAAGCACAGCCAGGGAAGGGCAGGTCTGCCAGCTCCCCAGGCACTGTCTTTAGGAGGAGGAGACTAAGAGAACCTGGAGAGCTGTGGGCATGGACTTGTGCCCAGGGAGGAAGCAGCTTTCGGTGCTTAGATAAGGGAAGCTGATAGAGCAGCTCCTACCATGGGCCTGGACAGAGGTGGGGACCTGGAACCTGTTCCTGTCCAGAAGTAGCACATGCTAGACACGAATGAGAGGTGCTAAGTGTGTCTTCTGGTCTCCTCTCAGGAATGGGAAGCCAGGCAGATGTCCAGGCGATCTTGCTGTAGGAGGTGGCAGCAGCCACTTGGGGAGGCAGGGCCCAGGGCGGGCTCAGAGCTCATCACCATTGGCACAGGCCTATCCCCAGTCTTCTTGGTAGAGAAGGGACTGCCTACAGCAGACATGTGGAGGAGACAAATGCAGCATGAAGGAAGTCTCTGTCTCCTGCCACAGCACACAGGACAGAAGCCTGAGAACCTGTGACACCCACCCCAGGAACCTGGACCCTCAGGTATGAACTGTCTGAGCACCTGCCTGGTTTCCCAACTCAAAAGCAGCCCTGCCCCAGGCCTACGCGTGAAGTGGAGTCTGAAGAACACAGGTACCTGCACAAGAAACAGCACACCCTCTCTCAGGCGGGGTGCAAGCCACCTAGCATGCAGAGGGCTGGAAGGAAGCAACTATCAGAACTCATTTCTACTCGCTGTCATTTTCTTTCCCTTGTCTGCTCCATAAGTACACACGTACACCTCAGTCTCTGTAAAATAGAGCACGTGGTCAGAGCATCAGACGCGTCAAGCATGGTGCTTTGCCAGGGCCATGGAGTGCCTCCTCACCACCACACTGGGCAGCGCACCCAAAGATTTGCTGAGCAAATGATCTAGCATGGGCCTAATGGTCCAAGCTACTCTGTGTGTATAACAGCACCCACTCCAGCTTCCAGCTTCTGTGGCCAGTGCGCATGCCCCGGTGCACCCTGCTTGGCAGCAGCCCTTACAGAAAGACCCGGTGGGTGCCCATTCTCCCTCCCTCCCTCCCTGATGGGCACCGCCCTTCCCTCCCTGATGGGCACTGGGTGAAGGGCCCAGCTTGGCAACTCACAGGTCCCTCCGCATCCCTCCCTTTCAATCCAAGTGCTCAGAACCTGAGCCCTGAACTGGGGTACTGATTCATCTCAACCACCACCCATTTGAAGCCTCGCACAGCCATTTCCCAGGGGTGGTGATGCTGATGTAAACAGGAAACAAGAGTGCTGCTCTAAAAGGAAGTGTGGGGGCTCCTTCAGGGCCCTGCCCTTTTGGTGTGCACACTCACTCTCTAGGGAAAGGCAGAACCATAGAACTGGATACCAATAAGGGCCATCGGCACTTTTGGGAAAATTCATACTCAGCCTTGCGGGGGGGAAAAGGCTGTTCAGCCCCCGCCCAACTTGCCCTTGGGCTCAGAATTACACAGAAGTCTGCCTTCAAAGGAGAAGAAAGTGGGGGAGGGCCAGGAGGACAGGGGGCATCCAGGACAGGCTCTTAATGGCCAAACTCAGAAGGCAATGCCCTGTACCCCTAGATGAACATCTGCTGTCTGGCATGCACCCCACTTCCTCTCTAGGGTCTCTTCCTCTCTTGAGTCTCAGGATTTCCTCACCACCTGCCTTGGCCTTACAAGCTTCCTGGACAGAAGCCTCTGGAGCCTCTTGGCACTTGTTAGCTGGTATTAAGACCCACGCTCCTCCCTTGACATTTCTCAAGACTGCAGTGACACCACAAATGGAGATGGCCAAAGCGTGACCTTAAAGTGTGGCTCTGGCCAGGGCTGGTTGGAAGCCTTTGGCCAGTCGGGCTCAGGCAGGTGGGTCTTAATCCTGCCCCACAACCCCTAACTCACAGATACCAACTCCATTCTGTACCTACTAAAACATACGTATTCCATTCTTTGCCTGAGAGAAGCTACACTCCGGTGAAAGTAAAGCGAGTGGTACCATCTATCAGGCCTGTACATGCTCTTTTTGAGGAAATGCCACTCAAGGGTGGTTTCAATACACTGCTGGGTATGCTTCCAACAGTTCAACCCTCTCTGCTGCTGCATTTGGGGCTATAGCCCAGGCGCCAGAGGTCCCAGCAGATCAGACTCAGCCACCCTCTCACACCGCCAACAGGGAAGAGCAGGTTGAAGAGCCGTAAAGCTACCTTAGTCTGCACAGTCATGCTTGGAGGTACGGT